ATCCATCCATCCATCCATCCATCCATCCATCCATCCATCCATCTCTTTCTCCATATAGGCTATCATTTGATCGTTCATGCTCTCCGTAGTTCTCCTGTGGCGCGAGCACAGGGCAGCTGTTACGCGCCTTTAGTGAGCATGCACGTTTCCTGTCGCTTGCGCGGTGAATAGTGCCGCCGCGCTGTGCGGAGATGCAGGGGAAACCGTATCTGATGGGGAAACGCAGCTCGACGTAACAACGGTATTTCCATCTGGAAAAGGCTGTTTTTGCCGCTGGAGTCATCCTCACTCTCCATCCTCCCCTCTCTCATGACAAGGCGCGCACGAGTCCTATCATGAAAAAAGGTTAATTGTGCAGTAATGGGGTGTCAGCAATTGTAACTGCGTTATAGTTACAGTAAGAGTAATAATTATAATTACTCGTTACTAAAAAAGGTAGCGGCGTTAGTAACGCCGTTACTTTCAACGCCGTTACTCCCATCTCTGGTTTTGATTTTTCTGAGATGTTTCAAGTGGTTTAGATTTTAAATTTCCTTAAGAAAAAACGACTTGGATCAGTGGTGCATGAACCTAATCATCTTCCATATCTTTTTTTTTCTTATTTTTGAAATGCATTTTTAATTTTGTCTCGTTTGTAGAAACATCCAGACATAGTATGGACAAATGAATTATTATTTTTACATCCTTAAAAAAAATAATAGTTGCATTTAGATTATAAAATACAACAAGTAAAGTTCTTGATAAATATTATTTTAAAAAATATGCAAACTTACAGTTATGAACAGTAAAAAATAAAAATTAGAAAGATTAACAGAACAGTGCAAGGATGCTGTATTGGGGGGAAAATTAGGAAATTCTAAGGGCCTTTGATTGAGGTGGGGGCCCAAAAAAAGAAGAAAAGATATGTCCCAATAGATATTGCAAGTATAGAAAGTAAGCAAAGCATGAATAAATTGACCAAGTTTGTTATCCATCAGTTAATGCAGCTTAAAGTTAATGTATATTTAATTTTTTTCATATTCTGATGATTTTACTTTGTAGAGATATGTAAATGACAGTCTTTAGTGCATCTTAATAGTAGTGTTAAAGCTATAAATGCATTTTTTGGGGGGTGGGGGGGCGTATCAATGTCTTTAATGGGCCCCCAAATTCCTGGCGGCGCCCCTGGAGCAGTGCTCCGTTTGATGCACAGAAGTTAGTATTTGTTTCACACGTGGGTGGGTCACTGTTTTTAAACAATTTGAACAACATTTATTAAGCTAAACTAGACAGAAAAAGACTGGATCTTTCCACATTCAGTGGTAACATAATTTTAAAAAACAAGCTCAGTTTTCTGAAATCTAATTTTATAAAACAAACTGTTTCCATTGGTATATTGTTCACATAACCCCATAATCTAGTGAAAATAAGACACTTCGGTTTTGATTAGTCCAATAATTTTATATTCTCTAATTGATGTTGTCTGGATTATTAAACAAACGGGAAAGACTTTTGAGCTCCGATTCCGAAGCCAGCTTCAGTGGTGGTGCTAGCAGCGGCTAGCTGCTGCTAACGGCTTCGGTCCGGAAGAGGCGGACGGTCAGAGGTGACGCACTGCAACCGCAACAACAAGCCGGGGTGACTGAGCGCAGCTCGGTATAGAAGAGAGCAGACTGCCACCAAACAGACCAGCTGATGCCTCCTTTCTGATGGGCTAGCGTGAATTAGCCTGCTCCGGTGTGTCAGCATGGAGGACACCGCGGAATCTGGGGACTGTAACGCGAACCTGCGCTGGCAGAGCACCGGGGAGCAGAAAGTGGACGCGGCTGTGCAGCAGTGGTTGGACTGGGACCGGGTGAGTGTCTGTTAACCCGGGTCACGGTGACAGAAACTCTGGCTTCAGCTGTTCCAGCCTCCGGTCTGCACCCAATAACCGTTATCTCCGACTTTCTTTACAAACACAGAACTTGAACAGAGCATATAAACCTAACAAAAACACTTAAATAATAATAATAATAATAAAAAAAAACATTTTATTAATTGATATCTGTTGGAGACATCGGCGCGCTTAATTTCCAATAAAGAAACAAATATTTCCATTAAATCCAACTTTAATGGCGGCTGGATTAACGGGTCTACATCAGATGTTCATGGTAGGACTGGGTCACCGTTAAAAAGTAACACCTGGGCTGAATCACGATATGCCGAATTTATCTTCACATTAAGTCTCATACAGAAAATCTACCCACAGATCTCATTATTCTGTTCTTTTTATTTTGTGTTGTATTTATTGAATCACCCTGTCTGAACACGGAAGATCTGTGAGGGTTAGTGGGCTACAGCAGGTCCACTGGCTGTCTGCAGAAACTGAACAAATGTGGGTTATAAGCCGATTTATATGGCAGCATGACTCAGCTGTTTCTGCTATAAACGGCCCACAACATGCATGGATTTATTTTAATCTTCAGATAGAAATCTGCATAGAAAAACATGGAAACAGTCCCATCAGAATATGTTTAACAGGAGTGAAAGTGGGTTTATGTGGAGGCTGTAAGCAAGCAGGTCCACCAGCTTCATAGATCTGCAGAGAGCCCAGTCATGGTTTAGGATGCGGAGCATTAACCTGTTTCTTTCAGAGTTATGCATCCATCGGTTCATGGCCTAATCCCATTTTTAATCTATCAATGCAGGAAACATTTTGGCTTGTCTGTATGTTTTAAATGGTACAAAAGCAGAATGTTTGCTGCTGCAAATCTGTTAAGCTAGATTATGTAAGTAGACCAAATTAATTTGAATATTTTTCCTGATATTTTATCTGATGCCCAACCTGCTTCCTGCTGTGGGTTGTGTGGGTTTAAAGGTTACCGTGACCCCGCCTGTAAATGTCAGCAGCTGGGAAAAGATTCCCCCAAGTTAAGATTTCTATCTATATCCACTGAGCAGAAACAGGTTGATGAAAATGATTCGGACATCAGATATAAAGAAGAAGGGAAGCAATCTATATCAAAGACTAGACCAGAGCCACTTTTTTTTGTTTTGAAAGTGAATACACAAACATATTTAACTCAACCTATCTGACTATTACTGTGTGAAGGCACCTGATTGTGGTGATTTATTGGATCCTATGGTGGATCCTGGTGGTGAATACAGACAGAGTCCCAAAACAGAGCAGAAAATCGTTCTGCTTTCAGTACCATTAGTCTATGTGTGAAAAAAACACAACATATGGTATGCTGAACTTGCTCTGCCTTTCTGTAGAACCCCCGGACTCGGGCTCAGGTGGAATCTCTGGTGGCCGCAGGGCGTCTGGATGATCTGAGGTCCAGACTCTGCAGCCGAATGAGCTTTGGAACAGCTGGACTACGAGCACCGATGGGAGCAGGATTCAACCGGATCAATGACCTTACTATTATCCAGTCCACACAGGTACTACTTATTACACCAGTAACACTACTCCAATCAGGTATCAGAACTATTATGATAATAATAATAATAAAATAATTGAACTTTATTGTTCTCACATTGGAGAAATTGACCTCTGCATTTAACCCTTCCCCTTGGGGAGCAGTGGGCTGCAATTGGGGTTTAAGAGTCTTGCTCAGACACCCAGATTGGCAGTCTGTGGGTGTGGGGCTCGAACTCAGAACCTCAGGATTCCAAGCTCTAAGCCCTAACCACTAGGCAGCCACTCCCCAAGAACTGGTAACACCTGTCCAGTCAGGTAACAGGCCAGTTATTACACCAGTAACACCAGTCCAGTCTGGTTACAGACCAGCTGTTTCATAAATAAAACCAGTCCAGTCAGGTTACAGACCAGCTGTTTCATAAATAAAACCAGTCCAATCAGGTTACAGACCAGCTGTTTCATAAATAAAACCAGTCCAGTCAGGTTACAGACCAGCTGTTTCATAAATAAAACCAGTCCAGTCAGGTTACAGACCAGTC